CGAACCCAGCGGTCGTGAGTTCGATTCTCGCTGCGACCACGAAGATTTTTCTCAATAAGTAAGTTCTTTTATATTTATCTTATTTCCCTGATTCTGTTTAATGACTACTTTCAGTTCGTATGACTCTAATCAGCAGTTTACCAACGTGCGTGAAGCGCCCAAATAATAACCTTTGCCCTTCTCACCCTTTCAAATTATAGTAAAAAAAGGACACTAAGTCAAAATTCCTGGAAAAAGTACCGCAGATAATGTTTGCTGAGAACCAAACACGTTTCTTTTGTAAAAATTAGTTTTAATATTTAGGGCACTTGCTCTTGTTTTTAGGGACCAATTTTGTTTAGACCAACACATGCCTATTTTTAGAAAATGTTGCCCTTATTTTGTTACCCAGTCGCCATTGACCCCCGTTTTAGGCCGATTTTCCTTGTTTTTAGGGCGATTTTACAGTAAAATTTCTATGAGTGCACCTACCCGCGATCTCAATGTATGGTTATGTGGGCGGTAGACAGATATAGGCGTTATGGTCGTTAGAGTGGGCGTGGCAAACTTTTTTGGAGCCAATCAATACGAGACTAATAAATTTCAGTTAACATTTTTTTTTAGCATGAAAATTGTGGGCGCCACAGGCTTGGGCGGTTTGTGGGCGTTAGAGTAGGCGTGGCAATCGATAGGTATTGACAAGACTGATACATTTCAGTTAAAATGTTTTATCTAGCATAAAAATTGTGGGTACCGCAGATTTGGGCGGATTGTGGGCATTAAAGTGGGCGTGGCATATTCGCGTAACAAACTTGCGCTGCGTACAAGGCTGCGGAATCTAAATCTTAAATCCCAATTCTCTATCTTTTATTGTTTCCAAGATATTCGCGTTCATACTTACGATATTTTGACGTTAAAGTGCGCGTGGCACATTGCTGAAACAAGCTTTCGCTGCGTAAGAAGCTCAAGAATCTGCTTGCCAAGTCTCGATTGCCTAGCTCTTATAGTTTCCGGACAGACGGACATGGCTAGATCGATTCGGCTAGTGATCCTGATCAATAATATATATACTTTATGGGGTCGGAAACGCTTCTTTCTGTCTGTTACATACTTTCCGACAAATCTAGTATACCCTTTTACTAACGGGTATAATAATTAAAATATCGTTTGGATAAGCACGTACAAAATTCAGTGCTATCAATCTCAAGGGTTATACAGTTTAAGTTTAAGCTGAAATCATTTTTGAAAAAAAAAAAAATAAAAATAAAGACAGTTTGTCCATAATATTTAAACATAATCATGCACCCATAAAGTTATTTTTCTAAACCCTAGAAAAATCGCCCTAAAATTAGGAAAAATCGACCTAAATATAGGGAAAATCGCTAAAAAAAAAATTTTTTTTGGGGTTTATTTTTCTAAAATGGCAGATTTGTTCTATTACACAAGTTTAAAAAAAAAAATTGATGAAATACGCCTTTCAGGAAACCTTTGTTTTCCGGTAAGATATATCTCCCTGATTAAGAAAAGGACACTTAAAATTTTTTCTATGGTACCAATTTTTTCAAAAGGTTAAAAAACGCTTTTCTCCCTTTTTTATTTTCTAACTCGAGTTTTGATAAACCGAATTCGGTCATCAAAGAATCATTTTACAGGTAATAGAATGCCCTTGTGCACTGGTTTAAAACCAGTGGTCGGCACACACATACCATCACAAGGGCATTCTATATAATCAAAAATTTGTTCTTAGAACAAATTGAGATTTGAACCCTTTTTACGCGTCGCCTAACGCAATGTGTTTGTGGTGCAGCGGTAATGTTCTCGACTGCGGACCCAGTGATCGTAAGTTCGATTCTCGCAGCGACCACGAAGATTTTTCTCAAAAAGTAAATTGTTTTAATGACTAGTTTAAGTTCTTATGATTCTAGTTAGTAGTTTACCAACACGATGAGCGGCCGACTAATAGCTTGGCCTTTTCACCCTCTCAAATTATAGTAAGAAATGACACTATGTCAAAAATTCCAAAAAAAAGTACCGCAGATAATGTTTGCCAAGCACCAGTAAAAACATGTCCAAGCACGATTTTTTTATACATCTAGGAAAATCGCCGTAAATGTAAGACCAATACTTGACTATTTTAGAAAATATTGCTCTTATTTTGTTACCTAGTCGCCATTGACCCCCGTTTTAGGGCATTGGCTGCGTTCAGCAGAATAACATGATAACTGTGATCAAGTTTGTTCTGCTGAACGCTCATGATACATAACGAAGTTAAAAAAGTAAAACCTTTGACCTGCAAAACTCCACTATGCAATTCAAATGTCTTTTTTAATTAGTTTTAGTGTAAGGTTAGTTGAAAATTTACTTAAAATTGCGTTTATAAAAACGATATCGGTTGCCACCGCAACTGTAGCATTGCACACACCAATCATGGACACGTAAAAATCAAAAAGTCCTGAACAGTTGTAAAGAATTTAACTTACTTCATGGTTTTTTAATAATAATTGTGTTAATTCTTATCGATATTTAACTCATCGATACACGCCAGCAGCAATGTATCAATGATCACGAAAAGGTAGCGTACTATTTTTACGCTCACTGATGGAATTCTGCTGAACGCACTATATTACTAATCATGATGCAAAATTCTTGCATCATGATTAGTAATATAGTGCGTTCAGCAGAATTCCATCAGTGATCAGGTATCATGTTGTTGTGCTGAACGCGGCCATTGATATAAATTCGTTCAACTTGATATGTTTATCTTATCAAACGTAACTTTGAAAAGGCTTTGAAAAAACATTACGACTGTGCCATCGTATGCTTTGTGTATTTATGGTATTTAGTATTAAAGATATTTTTGACAGAATTGCCGCAGTCAGTGTGACATTTAACGAAAAGTTTTTATCTGAAAGTGGAACATTTGTTGCCGTTTTTTTTTTTGATTTTGCAAATGGTTAGTATCTCAAATTTAATTGTATTTACAGTGTGCCACTTAATTCATGATACAGCAGACTATTTATACTTTAGTTAACAATAACTCCTTTATTAAAATTTTTTTTTTTCAAGTTGATTCCATACGTGCTCTATGGGAACTACGTCGGGTCTCTGCGGAGGTGGTGTAACATTATACCGTAGCCATAGGCGAGTATTTAAGGCCTTGTGTTTTGGATCATTATATTGATAAAGGTAAAAATCCAATTCCAAGCTTATCTGCGCTATGCTTTAAGTTCCTTTTAAGGATCTCGATATACATTTTGTGATCCATAACCCCGTCAATGAATTCCATGTTCCCGACGCCTGCAGACCCCATACAACCCCAAACCATTACTCCTCCTCCACCGTGCTTTACGCCTTCAGAGACTTGAATTCGCTAAAGCCTACAAAAATCATCCTGTTGAGTTCTGGAGAAATGTTATTTTCACTGACGAGTCTATATATAATATATTTGGATCATATGGCCGTTTTAAGGTTTGTCGGCGACCTGGAGATGCCTATAAACCAAAATATACGATTTAAACCGTACTTGATTTTTGTCTAATTAAAATTTATTTTTTTCTTGGACACCGCAACGTGCATTTCGGTGGCTGGTCTACACACACTGCACTACCACAAAGTCAAATGGCTGGCCAGGATGCCGAGCTGGGCAATTTGTTGTCCACCACTTCGCTGGGAGAAATCTATCGAGGACAGGAGAAGGACTTCCTGGCGCTGTTGTTAACCTACATGAGTGGTTCGAGTTAAGAGTGATCTGCCTGCTAGGTCCCCAAAATATGTTTGTAATTGAAAAAAAATGTATTTAAAATAAATAATTTAAGCAAATTTAAAGGGCTTTTGATTTTCATTTTTAACAAGAAGCAAAGAAGTAAAATTAAAACTGTGTAATATTGATATTACAATTATATTAATCTGATACGAAAAGTTACAAATGAATATCAGTTTGATATTGAAAAATACCGTACCGGTTTTGTTTGTCATAAATTTGATAATCAAGTGGTATGAAAAATACCCTATTGATGTGTTCGAAAATGTCATTTTGACATGTTCAAAAATGTCAATATGATATAGCAACATAAGGGACCAAAATTGATTTGCAACAAGAGAGGAAGCTAACTTCGGCAAGCGGAAGTTAGTATACCCTTGCAGTTATAAGAAATAGTCAATGTTAGTAACGCCATGGTAAATTTTTAAGGATTGTTGCTAGCTTCAGTGATATTAAAAAAAAGAAGTATTTCATTATTTCTCTGACTGTGTCCTTGACAGCTATATGTTTTTTGGGAAAGTTTCAGCCCGATAGCTTTAAAACTGAGAGACTAGTTTGCGTAGAAACAGACGGACAGACGGACATGGCTAGATCGACTCGTATAGTGATGCTGATCAATAATATATATACTTTATGGGGTCGGAAACGTCTCCTTCACTGCATTGCAAACTTCTGACTGAAATCATAATACCTTCTGCAAGGGTATAAAAATACACGATTGATGAACAGTTTTGGTATTTTATTTTCTCTGTGCAATTAGACTAAAAACATTAAAAAATTTGGCATTTTAGAAAAATAACCTTAATAAATATTTTCTTTGGCGATTGGCTATGTTTAGGTCGATTTTTCTAGTACTAAGAAAAATAATTTTATGAGCGTAATGGCTTTCATTATTTCATCAATTTGTTTATCCACTGGATGCTGCGGTCTAGCATCTACACTGGTTGAAATGAACATTTTACACGTGTAAAAGCAAATTTCTTTTAATGACAGATGCAAAATTTCATAGCCTTCTCTTTATTTCAGTTCTACTCTTTTAACGAATACTTTGTGCAACATAAAAAATTAAAATATGGCTTTATTTTGTGCGTCAATGTCCTTCAAGGATTTCGTATATAAGGGCGTTGACAATTCTTGCCTAGAGAACTTACAAAGATTACACCTTTGCAACGCAATTGAAAACACTAAGTGTATCCTACTGATTGAGGCGTGCGGTAGTCAGGCAGCCATATATTTATTTGAGTCTCAGGGAAGAACTTACCCAATGCATCACAGGGCGCTCCTCGGTGCAGACGCCCATGTGCGTCTTTTGGAATGACTCGAGGTCTATTTCCAAGGATGATACGCGTCGAGAGTGGTATGATTGTTTAGGCTGTGCGGTACGTTGTGCAGGCCTAGTCTGTGGTATTACGTTTGTCCTGGCTTATCCTTTGGCCCTGGCCTTGATATGCAAATGATACTTGACACTTGACGGGATTGACCCGATTTAAGCTGCCGAGTATGTGTAAATATGACAAGATCTACCTACTACTTGGCAGGCAAGCATCACTTCATCGTTGTTTTACAGATTGACACCTCATATTTCTGAATAATTTAATTTAATTTACTGACGTCTTTTTATTTAACTTCCGCTTCAGCAGCAAGGTAGTTTAAGAAACTTAGGGTCACACATGAGCATGTACAAGACACTCACTCAAACACATTACTTAGCGACAGGTAAGATGAACAGTTCGAGTTGGGATCGTTTTTTAGCACCGACCGCTAGGTTTGACAGCTGATTTCGGGGCGGTGACAACAAGCGGTCAGGGATTCGAATTTTCGATTTGTTACATTTATTTACAAGTCAGCACGAGATCGGTACTTCAGATCCAAATTGAGTTTTAGACGGGGTCTCCTACGGCAGGCGACGATGCGTCATATAAATAAGGCATTAGAGCGATATGGCCAGGCCCTCCCCAAGCAAGCTTTAGTTTTTCTCCGTTAACTGCCTTTTCTTTTGGTACTTTAGACGTTAAGCTCAAAAGGCTACTAAGGTCCGTATACCCTTCAAGGTTTTGTTCCGGCCATCCAAAAAATTAGGCCAATTCAAAGAAACACAAGATCCCGATCCGCGATAATTCCTTCGATATTGATATTCCTTTGCTCGCGTAGACCGTCAAATTAAAAGCCGACTTGCATTCAAAATTCGTTTACCGATTAAAGCAACCGAACTGCTCAAGGCGCGAGACAACCAGTCGGCGCAGCTGAGAAACTGGGAATGTTTGAAAGCAACGCGAGCGCAGAAACAGAAGCCGAAACCGCCCCATTCGCCTGTGTGTGGTGGGCGCGCCGGTGTGAGCAAATGCGAGCGCGATGTTGTGTGAGTGTTTTCGGCCTGCTTGCACACACGCTCAGCGGGTAGCTCTCCGAAGTGGCAAATGGCGTCGCTCTCAACTGATTGCGTTAGTAGCTCTCTCCCACTCTAGCGCACTGCCATTGGCCAGAGAGGGCGTGGTGTGCCCGCGGCGCTCTCGCCAGACCGCCACCCCAAGTGACCCGCCCATCATTTTGGTTTGGGCAGTTGGCCGGCTGCCGAACATAAATATTTCAACGACAGCAGTCAGGTGGAGCAGGAACAGAGCGGAAGAATTCATGTGGAGCTCTTTCAAGAAATTATGACTCGCAAAGGATGTACGCAAACACAGAAAAATCTTTGCTTGTAACTAGTTATATACTTGGTGTCTGTTTATTAATACTGTTTCTCTTACGTCCGATGCTGCTTCTGTTCGACATCACCACAACAATAAACTTATCAAAGGCAGGAAGCTAAAAAAATATCAACTTAATCAGAGAGAATTATTCAAGTAATTTGCACCCAAATTGAGAATTTTTGTACTTTAAAATTCAGCATGAACAAAAATTTTCACTTTGAGTGCAAAATACTCACTTTCAGTACAAATTTCTCAAACAATTTGTACTTAAATTGAGTACATTTATGCTCTTTTTTGAACATTTTTCCTCAATATGAGTACACCTTGCACTCATTTTAAGAAATAATTTAGCTTGAATTTTAGAAACGAGTATCTTCTCTCATACTGAGAAATTCCAAGCGCTCAAATTGAGAAAAAGTTCTTGATAGTAGATGGAAAATTGGGCAAAATATTTTGTTTTTTTTTGTTTTGTAAAGTACTTTTACTTAGATATACACAGAACATCTTCCTTAATTTATTTTTTATAGAGCTTAAAAACAAATTTAAAAGAAATTTCATTTGTATATACAGCTAAGATCATGAAAATAGTAGTGAACTTGAGCTCACCACGTTAGGCAGGAAAATCGATTGATAACCACAATTTATTTCAACAATGTTTTCAAAATAACAATTTACATACTTAATTTTATCAGTTCAGCTGATTTTGTTATTATAAATTATTATAGTTATCACTTCCGGGCCTATAAACAAAAAATCACAAAATTTGGCCGCTCATGAAAATAGTAGTGACTACAAAAAATAAAAAAACTTTACTAAAAACTCCAAAAAATCTCCAAAAGTCATAATCTCATATTATCTAGAATCTAATATTTAGTTGACTTTCGCTTATTGGTTTTATAATAGATACAGCTCTCTTAACAACCTCCCACAAGTTTTCAATAGGGCTTAAGTCCGGAGACTGAGCTGGCCATGTCATTACATCGATCTTTTGGGATGCAAACCAAGCCTTCGCGTGCTTACTTCTGTGTTTCGGATCATTATCGTGTTGGAAAGTCCACTTTAAGGGCATTTCCCAACTGGCATAAGGTAGCACAGTGTTCAAGGTAAAAATTTTTGTCCAAATTGCCACCTATCTTATGTATCGGAACAACCCCAGCATAAGAAATACATGCCCAAATCATGATGCTCAGGCCACCGTGTTTAACAGTCTTTTTTGTGAGCTTTGGGCGAAATTCCTGGTTAGGTGGACGTCGAACATACTCTATAGAACCAGTACCACCAAACAGAAAAAATTTACTCTCATCAGTCCAAAGTATATTGCGCCATTTGTTAACGGGCCAGTCTCTATGCACTTTCGCCAACTCCATTCTTGCAACTATGTGCTTCTGTGTCAAAAGGGGAACATTTCTTGGACTTCTGGCAAATAAATTTTTATCTCCCAGACGTCTTCGAAGTGTTTGAAGACTAACCGCCAGATTTAGTTCTTTTTTAATCTTCCCTGCAGAAGCAAATGGGATGATCGTGGCGGATCGCACAATCTGTCTATCGTCTACCGCAGTAGTTTTAAGCTTTCCACCCCGATTTTCTGGCTTCAATTTATAGTGAATGGCGTTAAATATCATGGTAGATGAGCATCCAAATATGTTTTCAATTTTTTTGTACGTTCTACCTTCATTTTTTAATTTAATATTTAAATTTCTAAAAAATGTTTTTTTTTTTAATTTTCATCATTAAAAAAAATAACACATATTTTAACTTACTAATGGCGTTCTTAACTTCTTAAGTTTTTTTTAGAACTTCTCACATCAAGCACTACTATTTTAATGAGCGGCCAATTTAGCTTGCATATTCTAAATATAATCAAAAAAAACTCTTCCCGTGGCAAATCTAACGGAACTTTCCCTCTTTCCTCTTACTTATGTTCCATTCTGAGCAAAAAGTGGAAACACGTTCCAAGGATAACGATAAAAGTACCGAAATCTTCCTTTCCAATGTTGTTCTAAGTTGCACTACTATTTTCATGGTCGTAACTGTAAGTATAAGAACGTTGAGGTTGAAAAAGAAACCATCGTTGTTAGCAATTCATTTCATAATAATTAGCTCTTACCTGTTTCAGAACTAAGTTTTCATTTAAAAACGAGGAAGAACGCTATAGTCAATAACCTCGACTATCAGATACCCGTTACTCAGCTAAAGGGAAGTGGAGATATGCAAGCAGCAAAGCGAGATTGAAATGCGCCACCTATCGGCGGTAGACAGATTTAAGCGTTATGGGCGTTAGAGTGGGCGTATATAATAATATAAGTTTTTATCTAGCATGATAATTGTGGGCGTTACAGGTTTGGTCGGTTTGTGGGTGTTAGAGTGGGTGTGGTATATTTGCGTAACAAACTTGCGCTGGGTACAAGGCTACGGAATCTAAATCTGAGAGCCCAATTCTCTATCTTCGATAGTTTCCGAGATATCCACGTTCAAATTTACGATTTTTTGAAGTTTGTGGGCGGTTTGTGGGCTTTAAAGTGGGCGTGCAAATTTTTTTAAGGTACAACACATTTCAGTTAACATTTTTATTCTAGCATCAAAACTGTAGGAGCCACAGTTTTGGGCGGTGTGTGGGCGTTACGGTGGGCGTGGCACTCTGCTGAAACAAACTGGAGCTGCGCAGGAATCTCAGGAATCTGCGTGCCTAATCCCAGCATTGTAGATTTTATAGTTTCAGAGATCTCAGCGTTCATACGGACAGACGGTCAGACGGACGAACGGACAGACGGACAAGGCTAGATCGACTCGACGAATCTAGTATACCCGTTTACTCTACGAGTAACGGGTATAATGAACGTTTGGAAGCTACTGTAGACAAAGTGTTTTGGACTGTCTTGTGCTAAAAGTTTTTTTAAAATATTTGTTATAATACCAGGAGTTATGTTTTTGTAATGTTTACCATTTGTTGCAACTCTTTTATTTTTTGGGATGCTTCCAGTTCCTGCTTTAATTTCAATGACTGGACTATACAAAATGTATACAAAAACATAAACATTCAAAGCAAATTATACGAAAAAAATTATAAAGTTTATAAATGTACATTTGAAAGGAAGAACATCATACGTTTTAAATTAGTTGCATGACGCAGCACTTGTCTTACATTCTTTTTTTTTCTTTGTACATATACACAGAGAGAATTATTCAAGTAATTTGCACTCATTTGAGTACAAAAATTCAACATGAACAAAAATTGTAACTTTGAGTGCACAATAATCACTTTCAGTACAAATTTCTCAAAAAAATTGTACTTAAATTGAGTACATTTGTGCTTTTTTTTTTGAAAATTTTTCCTCAATATGAGTACAAACTGCACTCATTTTAAGAAATAATTTAGCTTGAATTTTAGAAACGAGTATCCCCCTTTCTCATACTAAGAAATTTCAAGCGCTCAAAATGAGAAACAAGTTCTTGATAGTGAACTTCTAAATTCTCAAATGAAGAACCTTTGGTGCTTTAACCCGGTCCACCCATTCCCAGAAAAAAGGATACAAATAGTTTTTTTTCATTTTATTTTCTAATACAGTTATATATATACATAAATATATTTTTATACCCGTTACTCGTAGAGTAAAAGGGTATACTAGATTCGTCGGAAAGTATGTAACAGGCAGAAGGAAGCGTTTCCGACCCCATAAAGTATATATATTCTTGATCAGGATCACTAGCCGAGTCGATCTAGCCATGTCCGTCTGTCCGTCTGTCCGTCTGTCCGTCTGACCGTCTGTCCGTCTGTCTGTCTGTCTGTCCGGATGAACGCTGAGATCTCGGAAACTATGAGAGCTAGGCTATTGAGATTTGGCGTACAGATTCCTGAGCTTCTTACGCAGCGCAAGTTTGTTTCAGTAGACTGCCACGCCCACTCTAACGCCCACAAACCGCCCAAAACTGTAACTCCTACAGTTTTGATGCTAGATAAAAAATTTTAACTGAAATGTATTGTTCTCATCAATACCTATCGATTGACCTAAAAAAAAGTTTGCCACGCCCACTTAAACGCCCACAAACCGCGAAAACCTGTGACGCATACAATTTGCATGCTAGATAAAAAATTTTAACTGAAATGTATTGGTGTCGTCAATACCTATCAATTGACTTAAAAAAAAGTTTGCCACGCCCACTTAAACGCCCACAAACCGCGAAAACCTGTGACGCCCACAATTTGCATGCTAGATAAAAAATTTTAACTGAAATGTATTGGTGTCGTCAATACCTATCGATTGATCCAAAAATAAATTTGCCACGCCCACTCTAACGCCCATAACGCTTAAATCTGTCTACCGCCGGTAGGTGGCGCATTTTAATTTCGCTTTGCTGCTTGCATATCTCCATTTCCCTTTGAGTAACGGGTATCTGATAGACGAGGTACTCGACTATAGCGTTCTTCCTTGTTTTATTTAAGTTTTGTGTTCCATGTTCTAGGCTATGATATTTTTTCCCTTAGCTGTCTGGTCTAGCGAAGAGCAAAGGGGCTGAAAAAAAAACGTTATTGTTAGCAAAAATTGTAAATATATATGTATATATAAGCATG